GACCGGCATCTCTTTTTGGCAAGATTTTTGGGGTGCCCGGTTTTTTTTCTACCCTTTCTTGATGCTCTTTCATTTGGTCTCAGAGCATTTTGTTTTCATTTTCCATCTCTTCCATCTTCTTTAAAATGGTTGTGAGGGTGTCGTCACCTGCATTATCAACATTGTGAGTGATACCTGCTGTGGGAGGAGGAGGGTCGTGCTGCTCGACTGTTATTGATGCAATGCAGGTCCCTGCACTCTCTCTGATCGATTTTTGAGCGGGTTTGTTGAGGATGCTGGTCAATGTATTCGTCAGCCAAGCTTCGAGCAGCTTCTTCACCGCCAGTGGAACCTCTTCCGTTGTGGACATAGAGGCTCCCTTATCGTGGGACGTTGTAATACTACCATGCGGAAGGGGTGAGCCACTTCGCCTGGGAGAGCATTTGGTGTTATATCCTCACCCTTTGTTTCAGAGACCTCATTGATGGTGTTTAAGAGGTTGGCAGTGAGGTCGGCTACCGCTTCATCCTTTCTCCTCCGTTACCTGCCATGTTAGATCTGTGTGCACAAGAAGGTGTAGGGTTTTGCATTTTTTTTGTTAGTTATAGATCTAGAAGGAACTAAAATTTTAACTAGGAAACTCCCACAGACGACGCCAAATTGTTTGACCAAAAAGTATGAACCTTTGGTTAAACTAATTAATTTAATATATAAGAGGTTAGTCCTAGTTAAAGGTAATAACTTCAAATCTAAAATCAGCCTACGTGGATGTTGTAGAGCAGTGGAAGAACAGATTTAACGTAACGTATTAAATGTTCAAGGTAATAATGGGATGAGCATAACAAGCATTAAATAACAATAAATGGCACTAAATGTAAACAAGGAGAATGATTCACCCAATACTGAATGAGGTGGATGATTCTTCTTTCTAACAATGATGAATGACAAATAACTATGAGAATATTGGAGACTTTCTCGGATCTGATGTGAAAAGTATAGAATAATCAACAAAACGAATCTTTTTTAGAAAGGTGATGCATGTATTTATCTAGAGAGTCTGCTTTTCAAGAGAGTTCTTATCAGAATGAATAATACATGCCTTTCACCTTATCTCTCTTCCTATTTATATGGGACATGCCCCTAATCAACCTTAAAAGTACAAGTACAGAGCATATTCAGTGAAATATTCCCCTAAAGATCCTATTACAAAATAGTCATTAATGTTGCTCTTGGCATTCGACCTCGGCCATGATTAAGTGCTCGGCGGTGAATCCATCAGTCATTAGTCGACCTCGACTAAAATACTTCTAATAATACCTTTTCGTGCCGAATATCCTTGGTCAGATTTTGACCCATACAATAGCCACATAAAATATATGTGCCTCATTTTACACCACAAGTTTAAAAGACTTCTCTATTTTCTTAAACTCCATGCCCGGTCAAATGGGTTCACATAAATTGAAACAAAGGAGTAGCTTTTATGGTAAATGATTGCTATGCACCTATAACAACACTAAAAGTTAAATAATTTTGACTATAATAGACAAAACTTATCTAAAAATCAATTTTTTTCCTTTCTAATGTTACATATAAAAGATAAGAAAACTATTCAAATTTAAAATCTCAAAAGATATGTATATTTCACTAATAAATATTAAATAAAGTTAATAAATTATTAATAAATCCATAACTAAACAATGATTTAAACTCTAAAACCCACATTTTAAAGCTAATAGAAAAATAAATTCTTTCAAAAAATCTGGAAGAACTTTAATAATTGTAACTTGTTTCGAAGATTTCATTCTCTTATAAGCGACCTAATGCTTGAATTGACGAAGTTTTTTTTTCTAAACTTTCAGCAGAAGGGTATCTGATAGCTTTTCCTTGAAGGCAACCGTAGAACTTAACAGTTAAATCTTCTATTTAAATATTTTTTGCATTTGTCCAATGAAAAAGATATCATGTGCAAATCTTCTGTATTATACAAGATGGAAACTTGTCCAATGGAAAAGATTGTGTGCAGTTTCTAGAAATATTATTAGTAATCTTAGAGAATTTTATCTGCCTGTGATAGAGGGATAATTTTACAAAGAGAGTTCTGCTATAAATATGGTTGTTGATGTTATAGGTAAAATGTTGTTATAGAAAGGTAAAATATAGCTTAAAAAACCTGTTTCGAGGAAAACTTGACTTTTATAGTAAATAATTATTATACAAGGATGCTGTTATAAAGAGGTCTGACTGTAATAGAATTTTTATAGGCAAGATTCGAATTTGAAAATCTCTAACTAAAGGGAAAAGATAATTACAAAAAATCAAATTATATGACTAATATGTAATAAAATTCTTAAAACTTATCTACAATTCGATATTTTATAACGAATTACTTATCATTTAATGAAATTATCAGCCAAAATTACTAAATAAAGTCGCTTTAATTACCTTTTAGGTGATATGATTGTGTAAACAATTTTATGATATCAATGCTAATAACTTATATTCGAAGTCAAAGAAATAAAATTGTGGAAGAAAAGGTATTTGAACATAAATTATAGTTGAGAAAATGAGACCTGAAATATACCTGTAAATTATCGTGTGATAAAGCATTTCGCAAGCTTGAATCCTTAGAAAAAGTCCATCCTAATATATTACATATATGAGTGTTTGACATGAAAATTTTATTTATTGAACTTTTTGGAGTCTAACTTCCGCCAAAGGTTAAGTTTAAAACATCATTAAAAGTTTAATGCTTTTTTGGCGATTCATAACTTCAAACCTTGAATTCAAATCTAAAAATTGACTTCGAGATAACTAAATTTTAAATACTTTTATCCTATTTGGCAATTTTTTGTGAAGCCAAAAGTGCTTCTTTTCTTTAAAAATTGCTTATTTTAGCTTTTTCTAGAAGCACTTTTGGAACCTTAGGCCTCGTTTGTTTGCACTTAATGGAGGTCTGAATCTTAATCATTCAGATCTCAGACATTAAGTGCGTTTGTTTTTAAAGTTTGAATCTTAATTATTTAGATCTTAATCGTTAAGTGTGTTTGTTTTTTTTACTTCACAACCACTTAATGGGTCTGAATAGGTATGTATGATTAAGATACATAATAGAGACTTAGGCCTCATTTGTTTTTTTTTAAGATTAAGACGTCTGAATCTGAATACACATCTGATATCAAGATGTGTATTAAGATTAAGACATCTGAATCTGAATACACATCTGAATATATTAAGATGTGTATTAAGTTCTGAACAAAAATAATTAAAACTGTTTGATTTTTAACATCTGAATGTACAAAATTTATCTTTATTTAAAAATTAATAAATGTAAAATTCAAATGAAATACTAACTAATCTAATATTTTATTAATAAATGTATAGTTTTTAAAAATATGATAGTTGTTGGTGGTGATGGCTAACGGGTGAATGCCGACTAGAGGCGGTGGTTGGTGGTAGTTTTGATTGATGATGGTGGTTCATGCTAGTAGCTAGTAGTGATTGGTAGTGGTGGCGATTATGATTGAGGATGGTGGTGGTGGGTGGTGATAGTTAATAATGTCGGGTGATGGTAGTAGTTGTGATTGAGGAAGGTGGTGGGTTGGTAGTGGTAGGTTATAATGATAGGCAGTGTCCGCTGTGGTTGTTGATGGTAATGGGGTGGGCAGTTATGGTAGTTGAGGCGGATGAGTGTTGATTGTGGGTCAGAATGATGGTGGTCGGAGTGGTGGGGATAGTCGATAATGGAGGCTATGATTGAGGATGATGGTGGCGTAGTGGTAGTGGTGGTGGGTGGTGGTAGTGGTTGAGTATGTTGGTGGTGGTGGCATGGTGGTAGTTGATAATGGTAGGCGGTGGCGGCAATTAATAATGAATATATGATAGCATCTTAATGAAATTAAGTCTCTGTTATAGATCTTAATCATACAGACATATTCAGACCCATTAAGTGGTTGTGAAGTAAAAAAAACAAACACACTTAATGATTAAGATCTGAATAATTAAGATTCAGACTTTAAAAACAAACGCACTTAATGTCTGAGATCTGAATGATTAAGATCCAGACCTCCATTACGTGCAAACAAATGAGGCCTTAATTTCATTAAGATGCTATCACATATTCATTATTAACTGCCGCCACCACCTACCATTATCAACTACCACCATGCCACCACCACCACCATACTCAACCACCACCACCACCACCACCACCACGGCACCATCATCCTCAATCATAGCCTCTATTATCGACCATCACCACCTATTATCCCCACCACTCCAACCACCATCATTCTCACCCACAATCAACACTCATCCGTCTCAGCTACCACAACTGACCACCCATCACCATCAACAACCACAGCCAGCACTGCCCATCATCATAACCTACCACCACCCACCCGCCACATTCCTTAATCACAACTACTACCACCACTCGACATTATTAACTATCACCACCCACCACCACCTTCCTCAATCATAATCGCCACCACTACCGATCAATACTAGCTACTAGCATGAAACACCATCATCAACCACAACTACCGCCAACCACTGCCTCTAGTCGGCATTCACCTGTTAGCCATCACCACCAACAACTATTATATTTTAAAAAACTAAATATTTTACTCATATAATATTTGATTAGTTAGTATTTCATTTGAATTTTATATTTATTAATTTTCAAATAAAGGTAAATTTTATACATTCAGATGTTAAAAATCAAACAATCTTAATTATTTCTATTCAGATCTTAATACACATCTTAATATATTCAGATGTGTATTCAGATTCAGATGTCTTAATCTTAATACACAACTTGATATTCAGATATGTATTCAGATTCAGACGTCTTAATCTTTAAAAATACACAAAAATACTTTTTAAAGTGATTAGCTAAATACAAATTATTTTTTGAAAGAATTTTCAAAATTGCACATTTTTAAAATTTTGGAAGCTTGACCAATCAAGCTAGAGTTTGATTATGCTTTTAATAGCGGTCTAAAGTGGCTATTTGTGCACTTCATCATTTTCAGCCCCCGCCAAAGCCTTAAACCCCAACGCCATTTCTGCTTCACTTTCCCCAAATTCACCATAAACCCTAAATGAAGCTTTTTATCTCTATCATAAGAAATTCTTCAAATTCATCCGCTCACAGAAATGTGTTAAACCGTTTCTATGTTCCAACGTCAAGTAAACATCTGTATAGATCACCCAATGGAGACTCACTGTACAGAAGAATTTCACCTTTAGGGGACCCAAATGAGTCGATAGTACCCGTACTTGATCAATGGATCAATGAAGGGAAACATGTGGTTAAAGAAGACCTTCAGAATATGATTAAAGAATTAAGAGGCTACAGAAGATACAAACATGCCCTTGAGGTAACATAACTAACTACACCTTTCTATTAGTCACGCTCTTGTAATTAGAGCGCGTTAGGGTTAGCTGATTGTAAATAGCTAATAAGCATAAAGTGCTGATAAGTACCGATTTTAGCATTTACTTATTTGAATAGAAGTGCTGAAACTGATTTAATTTTAGCTCTTTTCTGAGCAGGGGGTCTATCGGAAACAGCCTCTCTACTTTAGGGGTAAGGACGGATTTCACTGGGTTTGTTGTTGTTGTAGTTATATGTTTGAATAGGCAAGCCGAAACTGATTTGATTTTAGCAACTACAAGTTTGAATAGAAGTACCGGCAATTACGTGTTTGAATGGAAGTGCTGAAACTGATGTAATTTTTAGCATTTATGCATTTGAATAGAAGTGCTGAAACTGATAATAAGCAATTGACTAAACTACTCATAAATTTTTTACAAAAAATACTATAAATAAGAGTATATTTGTAAGGAAAAGGAGGAACTATGGACATGGAATAGAGAGGAAGTTGGGGGTTTTATTTAGGGGTCCCGAGGTATTATAAGCACTTGACTTGCAAGTACTTTGGACCTTTTCCAAACTAGTTTGACCAGCTTATAAGCTTAACCAAACACTCTCTTAGCCTGTTCTTTGTTCTATGAATTTGACCCAATGTATTGTGAATTAGTCCATTTCTTTTTGTGTTTTGTTTCTTTAAAACAAATGGGTAAAGGGTAAAGCCTATCATTCCAGGTAATTAAGGTCCAATGTGAATTAGCTGATGCATAACAACTTTCTGCTTGTGGTTGTTATCGAGGGTTTACCGGTGGGCTTAGGCATAACACTGGGAAAGCCTTCATGGTGCACTGCACTGCGCTTCAGTTTGTCTGCTGCGAACTAAATGCTTTTCCGTTAATACCAAGGATCCCTGTCGGGGTGTCTTTGACACTTGGGTTCCTACTCTTTTTGTGTCTGCTGTTATGTCTTATGACAAATATTGCCTGGGAATATAAAAATTTCTTCATAAAAAAGGCTGGTGTGTGGCATGCTCATGTGGTGGAATGCTATACCAGCATGCATATGGTGGACTATATGGACTCAAAGAAATTGAAGATGTTCCGAAGACTGCTAGCGCTACTCTATCATCAAGATAAAACTTAACTGTATACTTCTGTTTCTGCTTATGGTGTAGAATGGAACATGTAAACAAGGCTGAATCAGTTTTACAACTATTAGAAGCCCCTACAGGAGTAAAGGGGGCAAACTTTTGCTGTTTTGCTTCTGAAGATATTGTACAGTAATATTAGCACACCCTCTGTGCTAGTTTATCTATAAGACTACTTCACCTTTAAAAAAAGGCCGTGGTGTGTGTCCTTGAGAGATATCAAAGTTGTGCATGATTTTGTGCACTAATCGAGTAATCTCTATTCCTTTGTGGCCCTGGCCATGTGTTTTAAATGCCAATGGTTTACCTAACTACCAAAGGCTAATCTGTGTTGTATATGAATTATAAGGGACATAGTTCCTCACTCTTTCAAGATGTGGAAAGAACAAAATTTTGCATACGTGTCGGCAGATCTAAGCGAAAACATCAAGCTGCTAGCTTTATTTCATACTCAGCTGATTTTAATCAATCTTGCCTCTGCCCTCTTGAGTGATCTTCTTAATTATGTTGGCAGGTATCTTATTGGATGACTGACAAAAGATTTTTCAGCCCCCAACCTGCTGATATTGCAGCACGAATTCATCTGTTGTTTAAAGTTAAAGGTCTAGAAGAAGTTGAGAAGTACTTAAATAGCATCCCACAACAGCTGAAAGGCTTTCATGTTTATTCAGCTCTTCTAAACTGCTATACCAGTGAAAAGTGTGTTCAGAAAGCTGAGGAAATCATGCAGAAAGTAAGAGATATGGGGCTTGCTAGAACACCATTGTGCTACAATTTTATGATGAAAATGTATTATCAAACAGGAAGTTGGGAAAAAATCGACAACATGATGAATGAAATGGAGGGGAAGGGTATAATATTTGACCAGTTCACTCTCATGATCCGGTTAAGTGCATATGCTGTTGCTGGAGATTCTGATGGAATAGATAAAATAGTAACGATGATGGAATCTGATCAACGGATCACATTGGATTGGAACACTTATAGTATCGCTTCAGAGATGTATCTTAAAGTTGGGCAAGTGGAAAAAGCTTTGGGAATGCTAACTAAACTGGAGGGCATGCTTGCCCCTGTCAAGAAAAATAACGTTGCATTTGATTTATTACTGAGACAGTATGCAAAAGCTGGAAAGAAGCAAGAGGTTCGCCGAGTTTGGGATCTGTACAAGCAGAATCAGCCAATTTATAATAAGGGTTACATTAGCATGATGAGCTCATTAATGAAATTTGACGACATAGAAGGAGCTGAACAAATATTTGAGGAATGGGAATCGAGGGGGTTATCCTATGACTTCCGTGTTCCAAATATTTTGATTGGCGCTTATTGTAGAAATGGTCTTCTACAGAAGGCTAAGGCCCTTATTGACAGAGGATCATCAAAAGGAGGTGTTCCTTCAGTCGCCACATGGTGTCATTTGGCAAGTGGGTATATCCATGAAGATCAGGTCTCAAAAGCCGTAGAAGCATTGAGCAAGGCAGTCTCAATCTGCCCGCCTAAATTTAAACCTAGCAGGGAGACGTTACGTACCTGTGTAGAATATTGGGAAAATGGGGGAAATGTGGAGAAGGCTGAGGAGTTTGTGAGGTCTTTAGAAGTGGAGGGTGTTTTTTCAGCAGTTTTTTGTGACAAGTTGCGGTGCTTTATCAACAAAGGAAAACTCTAATTTAACCAGTATCTAGGGTAGGAACAATTGAAGTCCAGGACAATGGGATGTGAGGTATGACTATGTTGTGGCTGTGTACTATAAACTGAAGGTTATTAGGACGCTCAAGAGCAAAGTAGTTAACTGAGTACACAGGTTCTGCTTTCACCTTACAAGCAGGAGCAATTCCAGAGTCTTATATTGGATGAACATAGCTTTTATTTGTGTCCCGAATTGAAAATAATGACGTTTATCTCAATGAAACTTATTAGCTTCTAATGATCCTAGGCTGCATATTCATTCGTGATTACTAGCATACCTTACCCAAGATTAGTCGTCAATACTGTTATTCAGCTCGGCACATGTTGTGTCAATGAGCTCTTAAGGTGGGTATTGACTTGTTTATTCAGCTCTGACAGATAGTCAATCCCTACATCTTAATGAGATTGTATATCCTGTTAAAGCGCAACATTTGACAGAATGTGTCTCTTCCTTTTTTTGGTACCTATGGCTGCTTGGTAGAAAGTATCTTCTTTATTTTGGTGCCAATGGCTACTGGATCGCCATCCTCTGTTGTTTCAGCTTGTTTATGATTGTGAAGTATTGAGAGTTAAGAGGTAGAATGTTAGAAGGGCATTTTAGACAATACACACTCACACATGTGATACACACGTGAGTGGTTAGTTAAGATGTTAGAATATAGTTAAATACTGTGCATTGGAATGTACAGTAAAAATAGAATTAGAAATCAATTTCATTTTCTTCTTCCTCCTTTCTTCATTCTCTGAATTCTCTAGAAACTAGGGTTTAATTGTTCATGCAATCCTAGATTCTATCATGGTATCAGAGCGGGTTGATGTGAATCCGTAAGATCTGAACATCGAACACCGTTAGAAGCTTCAATTTGATCGACCATGGGAGAAACAGCTAGTCTTCAGATTGATCACAATCATTCTCTGTTTTTAGCATCTACAGACACACCTGGAGTTGCATTGCACGATATCAAGCTCACCGGACTTGAAAATTATGGTTTGTAGAGCAGATCGATGCGGATGGCACTTTTGGTGAAGAACAAGCTAGGGTTCATTGAAGGAACCTGCTTGAAGAGCTCTTACAAAGGAGATTTGGCGAATCAGTGGGAAAGATGCAATGCGGTGGTTCTCTCATGGATAGGATGCACGGTATCTGCAAAATTATAACCGAGTATCATCTATGCATCGAATGCAAAGACTGTGTGGAACGAGTTCAAAGAGAGGTTTGATAAATCTAACCTTACTCGTTTCTACCTTCTGTGGATACAAATTGGATCGCTTAAGCAAGGTACTGACTCTGTGACATCGTACTATACAAAAATGAAAGATCTTTGGGATGAAATAGATCTGTTAGTTCCAGCACCAGGTTGTGATTGTGAGGAGACTAGACCTTTCATTGAACAATTTAAGAATTTACGTTTACTGCAATTCTTAGTTGGACTTAATGAAAGCTATAGCCAAGTAAGAAGCCAAATATTGCTGAAAACACCGGTGCTGACTGTAAACCAGGCCTATGCTTTGGTTATTCAAGAGGAAAGCCAACGTGAGTTAGGTGTGCTTGAAGTGAACAGGGAACCCTTGACTATGATGGCAGGACAGAATCAAGGCTATAAGCCTAAGAAGATTGGGATTGTTTGTGAGCACTGTGGGTACAAAGGACATCTCAAGGAAAATTGTTACAAAATCATAGGGTATCCCTTGATTTTAAAAACAAGAAGAAACAACAGGGCCAAGGAAACAAAGTTTATGCTAACATGGTTTCAGAAGAGATTGCAGGTTCCTCTCAAGGACAACAACTTGGACAGTTCTTTAGTGAAAGCCAATACAAGCAGATATTAGATCTTTTGAACAAAACACCTGCATGTGATAGTCAGGCACTTATGGCAGGTATAACCACATTATTGTCCAATACATCTCTATATGAGTGGATAATAGATACAGGAGCATCTCACCACATTACATGTAATAAAGAGATCCTATCTAATTTAGAGAAATATTAATCAACAAGGGAATCATAAAGTACATGTTCCAACAGGTAGCAAATGTTCAGTAACACACAAAGGAAATGCATCTATCCTAGGAGGATGTGAATTGAAGGATGTCTTATATGTTCCTGATTTTAAGTTTAACCTGTTGTCAGTCTCCAAATTAACCAAGGAATTGCGGTGTTGTGCCCTATTCTTCCCTGATTTTTGTGTATTGCAGGGTCTTTACAATGGGAAGGTGATGGGGATTGGTAGAGAGAATTGTGGACTTTATATACTAAAGTGGAGAGAGAAGCCTGTAGCAGCAATGGTTACCAAAGGGAATGATGAAAGCAGTCTTTGGCATATGAGACTAGGACATCCATCAATAATGGCAATGAAGCATATTCCTGCCTTGAAGAATAAAGCAGTAGATAACATACAGTATAACTGTGAAGTGTGTCCCTTAGCTAAGCAAAGCAGATTGAAGTTTCCTCTTAGCAGCAGTAAAACTGATTGTATTTTCCAGCTTATTCATCTTGATGTTCGGGGCCCTCACAAATTGCCTACATATGATAGAAAACATTATTTTCTTACAATAGTGGATGATTTTAGTAGGTATACTTGGGTGTGCTTATTGCAATCAAAGTCTGAAGTTGTAACAGTGCTGCAAGACTTTCTTACAATGGTAAAGACCCAATTTGACATGAATGTGAAGGTGTTAAGATCTGATAATGAGAAAGAAATTATTAATTCTAGATGTAATGAGTTATTAGCATCTTTAGGTATTGTACATCAAAGCAGTTGTCCTTACACACCCCAACAGAATGGGGTGGTGGAAAGGAAACATAGGCATATACTTGAAGTGGCTAGAGCATTAAGCTTTCAGAGTTCTATTCCTAGCAAGTTTTGGGGAGACTATATTAAAACTGCTGTATACTTGATCAATAAATGGCGTACATCTTTGTTACATGGAAAGTCTCCTTATGAGATTTTGTATAACAAACTACCTGCTATTGATCACTTGAAAGTATTTGGATGTTTATGCTTTGCTAGCAATTTGCCAAAGGGAGACAAGTTTGCAAAAAGGGCAAGGAAATCAATCCTCATAGGATACTCAGAAGTTCAGAAAGGATATAGATTGTTTGACTTGGAAACTAACTCTATTTTTGTAAGCAGAGATGTTAGTTTTAGAGAACATATTTTTCCTTTCAGAGAAAATACAACTACTATAGAAGACTGTTTTCCTACCCAAACAACTATGCCATTACAACCTGATTACTCATCATCAGTTTCAACTACTGATTCACAAGAATCATACCCCACTATAGCCACAGATGTCCCTATTCCACCCACAGACAATGATCTAGTCGCAGGAGATGTCAATATACCAGTTGCAGAAATACTGGATACTGATCCTACAACTCCAAATACAGAAGCAGTTGAAGGTGAACATGAAGTGCAAGATATTTCAGCTGAATTGCTCCCAAACAATGTACCAGAGATTGCTATTGCTCCTCGCACAAGCAGAATGGAACCTGATAATGATCAAGGTCCTAGGAAGACAACAAGGACATCAAAGCCTCCAGCTTGGCTAAAGGACTATCAGACCACCAAGAAGTTCACTGGTTGCTGTCTATACCCCTTATCTAATACTTTGTCTTATGCTAATCTCTCAACAGGTTATCAAGCATATTTGGAGGCCTTTTCAGTTGAGGTGGAACCCAACACTTTCCAACAGGCTTCCAATGACAGCAGATGGGTTGCAGCTATGAAAGAGGAGATCAAAGCACTTGAGGACAATAACACTTGGGAGGTAGTGGACTTACCAGCTGGGAAGCAGGCCATTGGGTCAAAATGGGTGTATAAATACAAATCTAATGGAGAGGTAGAAAGATACAAGGCCAGGCTGGTTGCAAAAGGATATAATAAAAAAGAAGGGCTGGACTACCATGACACTTTTTCCCCTGTAGCCAAGATGGTCACAGTCACGACCATTATTAGTATTGCTGCTGCAAAAGGATGGATTCTATATCAAATGGATGTGAGCAATGCCTTTCTGCAAGGTGATCTCTATGAGGAGGTTTATATGAAGTTACCTCAGGGATTTCACAAGCAGGGGGAGTTGAAGGTATGCAGGCTTATGAAATCTCTCTATGATCTCAAACAAGCATCCAGACAATGGAACATAGAACTCACTGATGCACTTACTCAGAATGGCTATAAACAGAGTGCATTTGATCACTCCTTATTCACAAAGCACCAAGGAAAAGAGGTGGTCATTATACTGATATATGTGGATGATCTACTAATTACTGGGAGTTGTTCCAGTCTAATTAATGATGCCAAGACAATTTTACATAGTAAGTTCAAAGTTAAGGAATTAGGCACATTAAGATATTTCCTGGGAATTGAAGTCTCAAGATCAAAGAAAGGGATCCTGCTTAATCAGAGAAAGTATGCTTTGAAATTAATCTCGGAGACAGGTTTGAGTGGTGCAAGGCCAATTGCAACTCCTATAGAGTTGAATAAAAAATTGACAACAGTGGAATATGACACATGCATTGGGAAGACAGGAGATTCAGAGTTAGAAGACAAATCAACTTATCAAAGGCTTATAGGAAGATTACTATACTTAACTATCACTAGGCCTGACATAAGCTTTGCAGTACGAACCTTGAGCCAATTTATGCAAAAACCCAAACAATCACACATGGAGGAAGCATTGAGAGTAGTGAGATACATCAAGGGAGCACCAGGAATGAGGTTATTGATGGAAGCAGGAGCCATTGATCAACTTAGTGCATATTGTGATTCAGACTGGGCATCATGCCTCAACACAAGGAGGTCTGTGACAGGTTATGCCGTGAAACTAGGTAATTCCTTGATTTTGTGGAAATCAAAGAAACAACCTACAGTGAGCAGAAGTTCAGCAGAAGCTGAATACAGAAGCATGGCAGCTGCAACTGCAGAAATCACATGGCTGACAGGAATGTTGGAAGACTTGGGGATCAAAGTGTCTAAACCTGTTTCTTTGTTCTGTGACAACAAGGCAACCATTCAAATTGCTGGAAATCCAATATTTCATGAAAGAACAAAGCATATCGAGATGGATTGTTACTTTGTAAGAGAGAAGATCAAAGCAGGGCTTATACATCCATGCCATGTTTCTTCTTCTTTGCAGTTAGCTGATCTTCTAACTAAGGGATTGACTGCTGCACAACATTGTTTCCTAGTATCCAAGCTTGGGGTGTTAGATATATTTCACCCTCCAGCTTGAGGGGGAGTATTGGGAGTTGAGAGATAGAATGTTAGAAGGGCATTTTAGACAATACACACTCACACATGTGATACACACGTGAGTGGTTAGTTAAGATGTTAGATTATAGTTAAATACTGTGTATTGGAATGTAAAGTAATAACAGAAATAGAAATCAATTTCATTTTCTTCTTCCTCCTTTTTTCATTCTCTGAATTCTCTAGAAACTAGGGTTTAGTTGTTCATGCAAT